AGGTTTATATCTAAAAAGGAGACCGAGGAGTTTTGCAACTTTATTTATGAATAAAGGGAGAGGTCATGGGCATTTCTCATGGCGTCTCCCGAATTTATACTGGATGCAGCCTCYTTTTATCCCAATTTCCTGGCTGCTGTTCCCTCTGTCTTTCGCCATTGGCTGAGSTWCTTGMAAGTTACAGGCTCCCYGAAACGCCTGATGAAACCCCACCTTCTATCATACATTGCTTTTTTTTAATAGACATCTCTGTGTCTCTGCTTAGGTAGYCTATTGACATAGACTGGGGTAAGCCAATCAGTAGACTTCCTATGCAAATCCTTCCTATTGTTTCTTTCTATCTCCCAATATCAGCCTCATCTCACGTCAGAGTCTGTTTGTAAAGACACTACCTTCTCATTCCTTTCAATCCTTTTTTTTTTTTTTCTTTTATCAATAATAGTCTTTACAAACTTTAGTTACCTTTTATTTGATTTTCTTCTTCCGGTTTTAAAAAAATTATTCTCTTCCTTCTGGCTCAAAGTTAACTGACAATAGAAAGGTAAGATTATTAAGAAAACCATTCCAATGGTGTAATCTCATTACTTTTATCTTTTGCACGACTGGTGGCAAGTGAAGGCACAGAAACAACTTTACATAMAACAMAGACAGCAAGTATTATCCCCCTGCAGTTACTGGAGACTTGAAAGGAGGGATGCTCACACAGACGATTTCAGCAGGCTGCGGGTAGGCACAGGAGCTYSCCCCGATGTCGACACCCTGGCTGCTGTTCCAGTCTGCTTCTGTGGAGGGTGAGTTGTGGCCTCCYRTCCTTCTCTTCTAGCTGAGATGTCTACATTTCTGGGGCTTTAGGGRCCTTGATTTGAGTGTGATGGCTCTGCTCGTGTTCAGCTGCCTTGATGGCTGTTTCTGTGGTCAGTAACACTTGGAAAGGTCTACGCCACTTCACTGCTTGTGGTGCTTTTGTCTACTCCTTAACCAGGCCCCTGTGTCCTGGCTGGATGTTGTGAACAGCCAAAGTCTAAAGGCAAGGTGTGAGYCAGCTGAGCTTTCTGTYRGAGACATTTCACAAGAGACAGTATCCTGGCTACATATTGTTTTAAATATATAGTACTGATCTCTGTTCCCCCCAGTAGCCTGAGACTTACAAGTGTAAAAAAAACCTTACACATCTTACAAATACTTTCAAAACTAATCTTGTAGTTGCTGAAGAAGTTGGAAATGCTTCTGGCTTTTTTGTTACTTGACATATTACTACTACAAGATATTTTAATTTTGCTACTTGGGGCATTTCAGTAAAATCTGTCTGGCATTTTTGGAATGGACTGCAGSTCAAGGCTTCTTTTTCTGGCAGTTTTCTTTGTAATCCTGTCCTTGGTTTTAGCACAAACCAAACAAGTCTTAACAGGTCATTTTGCTAGAGTGAAAAGAGTCACAGCAACATATATTTTGAGGAAGGCTTCTGCTAAACTTCAAGAGCTCCAATGAGTCCTTCTGTGGAGTTGCTTAAATATTTGTACAGTCAGAGTTTTTGGTATATACTGTTTGCCGTTTTTTGTACAGATTTTTGGCAGCAGTGCACTTTCTGACTGTCTTTGCCAGTCACTTGGTTACCTAGTAACTTCTTCTAAGCACACTACTTGGTGCCTCTTAATGTGTATTCTTGCCACCCTTTTTGGTAAAAGTTACCACCTCCAATARGTGAGAAATGAAGTTCTCAAGAGCTCACTTTTTTTTAAGCAGGTTAATAACCTTTACTCTTAATTTCTTACATGCATGTGTTATCTTACCTGCATATTTAAAATCAGGAAAAAAACTATCTTGTGTTGGTACTATTTACAGACTGTTACAAGCACATACAGCTCTGCTGCCTGAGCTGACTATTTGGGTGGCAGCTTTCTTCTTTTTTTTTACTGTTTTTAATTGATGATAGCATATCCTGTAAATTGCTTCTTTTCTATTACCTTTGCAGACTCATCAATACATACATTTTCTCTGCCAGGCCAGGGAGAGTCCCGTACATCTTCCCTAGCTTGGGTCTGGAGATCTATCACCTGAATGCACTCATGGGTTCTTACTTGGCCCCCCCTCTCCAGGGCCATTCAGGCAGGAGGCTGGGTTACACCTTCTTCCACTTTTCAATTCTAAGTCCTCCTGCTCCATGAAACACGTTTCATATTGCAGTAAGCGAGTGCTGGTCATCTCCTTAGTGGCCCTTTCCGTTAATAAAGCTTTCACTTGATGTGAAACTCTTAAAATCAGATACCCTCCTGCTGTCAGTTTTTTGTCCTTAGTCACTATGGAAGCCGTGGCTGCACAGCTCTGCAGACAGTGTGGCCAGCTTCTGGCCACTGCCTCTAGCAGCTTAGAAAAACAAGCAACAGGTCGTTGTGCACTCTCATGTTATTGTACTTGAATTTTTTTACCATGGGTCTGTTTAACATCTATGTACAGCTCAAACTCCTTTTCTGAGTTTGGAAGAGCTAAGACAGGGGCATTAAACATTTTGTCTTTTAATTTTCTAAAGCTTTGCTTTGCTTTTGGTGTCTATACTACAATATCAGGACTGTCTTGTGTCAAAAAGTCACATAAGGGTCTAGSTACAACAGAACAATCTTCAAATCATGCTTGGCAGTACT